TTTTAATTTAAAAAAAATTTCCAAAATTTATTCTGAATTTGTCCACTCTGTGCATCTTTAATAGTAAAGACCAAGTCAATGACCCACGTTTCCACAGTTCATAACCATCAACTCTCCCTTGTATCACTTAGATACTCTAAGTACTTCTCCCCCATTGTCCACAGAACTATGCTGGTTGAATATGATGTCACATCATAACAAGTGCTGTTTTAAATTGGCAATGCCTTATTTCACGTTGAAAAATATTCAGATACAGCCCTAGCTGGTTTGGCTCAATGGACAGAGCATCGGCCTGCGGACCAAAGGGTCCTGGGTTCGATTCTGGTCAAGGGTACATACCCGGGTTGTGGGCTCAATCCCCAGTAGGGGGTATGCAGGAGGCAGTCAATCAATGATTCTCTCTTATCATTGATGTTTCTATCTCTCTCTCCCACCCCTTTCCTCTCTGAAATCAATAAAAATACTTAATAAATTAGTGATTAAAAAAAATTCAAATACCTAATATGAGTCAAAAGAGTTGGGACTCAGAAAGGTCTCCTGCTCTAAGCTTTCCCTGATCACCAGAACCCAGGCCAGCCCCTGCCAATTCTGCCCTACTGTCCCATCCCCACATATTACCAATTGGAATATAATCTTGTTTTTATTTAATGGATTTGTTTATTGAAATGAATCAGGGAATTAACCACATTAAATATACATATAGCCCGACTGGAAGGGCTCTGTGGTTAAGCATCTACCTATGAACCATGAGGTCACGGTTTAATTCCCAGTCAGGGCATATGCCTGGGTTGTGGGCTCGAACCCCTGTTGGGAGTGTGCAGGAGACAACTGATTAATGATTCTCTCTCATCATAGATGTTTCTATCTCTCTCTCCCTTCCTCTCTGAAATCAATAAAATATATTAAAATATATACATACATAACTTTGAAACAGCACGAAGACTTGAAGAGAAAAAATTTGGAAGACGGTACTTTTGTCCTCTGCTTGCTCATGTCTCCCAGCAACTCAGGTACTACCGCTCAGCCCAGTGCCAAATGATTTCCGCCGAGTCATCCTTAAGATAATGTCTGTATATCCAATTCCCCAGCCAGGCAGTCAAGCAGAACCCCACAACCATCCCCAACTTCATTCACCAACTCCACACAAGGCCATAAAAATATGTTTTGTTTAAAATGTTTTGATGTAATTACTAAGACAAGTAAAATGGAAAAAAAGTCAGATATCAGTTACCTTTAATATATTTGTGAACAAATATGGGTGATAGCATTTTCAACATGTCAATGACTCAGAAAGATCATAACTGACTTTTGAGTCTCTGCTGACCTAATTGGTCAGAGGGGCTTGGTTTAGGAGGAAAGGGGACGAGGGAGCAAGGGGAGGAAGAAAAGAAAAGGGAGTGAGACTGGAGGGGAACCAAAGCCCAGGATTCTTCTGAAGATGGGCAACATCCACAGCTGTTCCAGAGGATGGAAGTTGGGGGTAGATCCGGCTTTGGCAAACTCAGCAGAACCTTCAGGGTGCACATGGACACGGGGTGTCCAGTGGGTGAAGCTCATTGGCCACACAGGAGTTAGCAGTGTCCAAGAACATTCCAGGATCTGGGAGGAAGAATAAACTATGGCGAACTTGTTAAATACCAGGGACTCAGCCTGTCCAGAGGCAACAGGGAAACTCTCATGCAAGACCAGTGACTTACAAACTTGCTCACAGCATTGAGATGTAAATGTGGCCAGGCTCAATGAATCTCCACACAAAAGAACATGGAGAACAAACGTAGGTGTCCCCTGGGCTTAGGGGACGGGGGAACAGCAGCACCCAAAAGCCACCTTAGGATGCTGGGACCAGCGGTGCTGGGCTGTCCATGGAGGGTTTGTCCTCAGGCACAGGCTGGGCTTTGGGATCCGGAGCTGTGCGCACTGCGCCCACTAGGCGGCGCCTCTTAGCCGGGGTCTGAACAATGGACTCTTGAGTCCCCTGTTTCCGAGGACGACCACGACCACGACCGCGACCGCGACCCCGACCTCGACCGCGACCACGTGTGCCAGTTGGCTGGCGATCCTGGGCAGATGTTGGCTGTGAAGATGGGTCGGGCTTTGAGGAGCAGAGGGCCATGGCAGCCGCAGGCTGGGCAGCAGAGACAGAACCCCGGCCTAGCGAGTGGCACAGGGATGGCTTATGCACAAGGGCCCGGCTGCCACGGTGGCCGCGGGACCCACGACCCGTGCCCACTGATCCAGGGGTGTGTGTGTTCCCATGGGGCTGGAGGTGCCTCAGGCCCAGTGCAGATCTCCAGGCCGCCCGGCCCTCCCTCCAGATACTCAGCTCCTGGCTGCCCGGCGCCGTGGGCTCCAAGTGGTCCACAACAGCCTGGTCCTGCCCGCGTTTCCACAGCTCATAGCGCTCCGGCTGCAGGATGCGCACGAACACGTCCATGGAAAAGCTCACCCGGGCCTCCCCGCAGCTGCACTGAGAGGCCACTTTGCCATAGTCGATCCATCGCGGGGTGGCAAAGTTGATGGCCTCCGCACAGTTGAAGCCATGGTTGAAGCCAGCGTGGTAGCCATAGGGAAAGGTCACCATGAACTCTCCAGCCTCCTGAGTGATGCGGCTGAACGGGACCCCGTTCTCCTTGAGGACAGTGGGCGAGATGAGGGCCACCTTGTGCCGCAGGAAGGCCTCGCAGCCCCGAGAGCTGCCCGGGAAAAGCTCCCTGGCCAGGCGCTCCAGGCGCTGGCCGTGCCCTGGGGGCACTTCCCAGGTGGCCAAGGTTCCATTGTTTAGTGTTGGCATCAAATAAGGAGCCACTGATGTCAGCGCCATATATGGGCGAGTCGTACAGGCGCGTTTTCCAGTATTTCCGCTCCAGATCCTCAAAGTCCAAGTGTGGTGGAGTCTGATACTGTCCACTGTTTGCCAGCAGGCGATACTCGCCCACTGTCATGGCCCTCTTCTTTTTGTGGTATTGAATGAACACGCCTGCTCGCCCAGACGCCACCTGCTGGAGGGGAGTGGCTATCACCATGTCATTGACATCATCGTAGGACTGTCTGGCTTTCCATTCCTTGGGTGGAATGATCTTAGCCAAGCCAGCTCGGTGAGCACCTTGGGATTCTATGGAAGCAATATATTTATCGAAATCATTAAACTCTTCTTTGGTTGGATAAAATATCATTATGTTACAATTTGGATTCTGGGCACAATTAGCCTTAGACTTTATAGCTTCCATCAATAAGCAAACTCCGAAGATTTTAAGTGTTAGATAGCTAAGGACGCTGGAAAAATGCTTTTTCAAAAATGGATTTGAATATCTCTGAGGTAGGAGGAGCTTATATGATAAGTCATCAAGCTATTATGACTTTTATGCAAACTAGATGGTAATGTTTATTAGGCCTGCTGATTCACCAGGCGGCTCCACTCCTGTGATACTCCTCAGTTGGCTGTCCTTTGGAGAGCTACTGAATTATGAAGTCCTGGCTGTGGTATACCAAGTGTAGTGTCTTCTGATCAGTCTATACAGCAAAACCTGAAATAAAAAATACAAAAAGGTTAAAAAATTAATATTTAGAAAAAGTTATTGGAGAAATACAAATAAAATACCACCATGGGATATTATTGAAAACTCCACGAAAGGCTACCATTTAATAACTTTACAATATAAGAAACGGTGTGGATGTGGAACAATTGGAATTTTTATACCTCAGTAGAGAGAAGATAAATCATTACATTCACTTTGGAAAAGGATTTGGATTGTATCTATTAAAACTGAGCATATGCATTGTGTAAAAGAGAACATATACAAGTGCTATGATCCAACTGTTATCACATGCAAGGAAATGTGTCCAGCTATTCACTGAAAGTCACATTCCAGAATGTTCATAACTACACTATTTCTAGTAGCCAAATACTAGGAACAGCTCAAATGTCCATCACAGCAGAATGGGTAAATATATTGTGGTGTAGTCATACAATGGAATACAGTGTATCGATTAAGATAAACAAAAACTACATTTAAATAAAGGAATAATTTTATAAGCATAACAATGAGCAAAATTATGCATACTTAAAATAAGGTAATCTATGTTAGAAGTCAGTGATTACCTTTGGAAAAGAAAGAGGTTGTGAGACCCCTTACCTTTGGGGTTAAAAGGGGTCCCTGGAGTGATGTTAATATTCTGTTCTGAACCTAAGTGCTAGTTACACAGCCATCAAAATAGCTAATGTGATAATTCATCAAGCTATTATGACTTTCATAAATTGACATATGTTTATTTAAAAATAGAGTTTAGGCCTGGCTGGTGTTGCTCAGTGGTTGAACTTTGACTTATGAACCAGGAGGGTCAAGGTTCAATTCTGGTCAGGGCACATGCCTGGATTTCAGGCTTGATCCCCAGTAGGGGGAGTGAAGGAGGCAGCTGATCAATGATTCTCTCTCATCACTGATGTTTCTCTCCCTCCCTCTACCTTCCTCTCTGAAATCAATAAAAATATATATTTTTTAAAATAGAGTTTAGGGTGAAAAGCATTCAAGAACAGTAAGAGACATATTTCATTATATTAAAAGTAAAAGGATGCATGATTGAAAATAAATGAACTGAATATTCAATTGAAGGGAAGAAGAGTATAGAAATAACAAAAATAAAGATGTTATTAATGAAAGATAATACATGCAAAACAGAGATGATGACCAAAATTTCTTTGAAGAGACCAATAAAAGCAACAAATCTGAGCAAAATTGATCAAGAGAAAGGAGAGAAAGTAAAAATAAACAATATTAGGAATTGAATAGTACACTAAGCTAGTAATATAATAAGGAATTTCTAAAATCTCAAAGGACAGCCCTAGTTGTCTTGGCTCAGTGCATAGAGAGCATTGGCCTGCAGACTGAGGGGTCCTGGGTTTGATTCCGGCCAAGGACACATGCCCAGGTTGCAGGCTCAATCCCTAGTGGGGGCATGCAGGAGGCAGCCAATGGATGATTGTCTCTCATCATTGATGTTTCTATCTCTCTCTCCCTTTCCCTTCCTCTCTGAAATCAATAAAAATATATTTTAAAAATAAAATCTCAAATGACAATGTTTGCAATTTGACATCAAAATTTTGAAAAGAGAACAGGACAATTTTCTAGAGAGGAAATATATCCAAAATGAACCCAAGAAAAAACGGGAACCTTGAATACCCCAGTATAAAAATCTGGTTTAAAATATGACACCTAAAAACTCATTTTTCACATCATTTTATAAGTGAGTCTAACAAATTTTAAAGAAACAGTTAAGTCTTATTATGCAAGTTCTTTCAATATACAGAAAATTGGTAGAGCTACTCAGAGGTTTGATAGCAAAATCAGAAAAGGACAACAGAAAATAACGCTATGGGCCATTTTTATAAGTGTAAACGAAAGCATGTTAAATAGAATACTATCCAATCAAATACTCCAATATATTGAAAGAATACTACATCATAACCAAATACGATATATCCCAGGACTGCAAGGATGATTAAACATCAGTAAATTGAATGATCTGATTCAGAGTGTTAATGAAGGAAGTGAACATTTTCATCTTGTAGGTACCAAAAAGTACTTAATGAAATCCAACATCCATTCATGAGTTTAAAATTCTCTAGTTACAAAACATTAAGTATTGGGGTCCAGCCCAAACAGGTCCAGGGGTTCCCCAAGGTGTGGACAGAGTCGGTGAGGAAGGATTGACATGAAGGCAGCCCGAGGCAGCCTTCAGGTGATCATCATGGCAGGTTCCTCCTAGCCAGGTTCCTCCCTTTATTGTCCTCTTACGTTTGTATTTATACTATTTGATCTTAACCCTCTCCATTCTATTCCAAAGGTCAGGGCATTTCTTATCTCCATTCCAAGGTTACTCTATTGTTCTATTAAGCTACAAGGAAGTAACTGAAGGAGATAATTCTAAGTAAAGATTATGTAGCTTAAGCGTGATTGTTCGTAGTTAAAGTGATTAACTACCCCTCTGGCACTTAAAGGGTTTGCTGATAAAAATCCTCACCTGGGGAAAAACCTTTCTTGGAGAGGTGACCTTGGTTAAAACACATAGCGCTTAAGAAGGGGAGCAAACACATTAAGAACACTATGCCATATATGCCAGGTCCCTTGAAACATAAGCTGTACAGATGTTTCTTCCCTGCAGTGACTGCGTCAAGCAGCAAGGGTGGATCGGCTTCCAGCAATAAAGAAAAACCACACAATGCAATTTACCGATGAGGTATCATAGAACTGTACACTTAAAACCTATATAACTTTATTAATTGATGTCACCAATAAATTTAGTTCAAAAGGAAAAAAGACTTCTAATAAGGTACAGGGTTTCATGTAAAAAATAAATAGTGGGCCCTAGCCAGTTTGGTTCAATGAATAGAGCCTGTGGACCGAAGGATCCCAGGTTCAATTCCAGGCAAGGGCACATACCTCGGTTGCAGGCTCCTCCCAGGCCAGGGCCCTGGTGGGGGCTCATGCAGGAGACAACCAATCAACGTGCTTCCCTCACATCTATATTTCTCTTTCTTTCCTTTCCTTTTCCACTCTCTCTAAAATTCAATGGAAAAATATCCTCAAGTGAGGACTTAAAAATACATACATACATACATACATACATACATAGCATTGGCCCCTGTGGTTCAGTGGATTGAGTGCCGACCCATGTACCAAGGGATCACTTATTTGATTCCCTGTCAGGGCACAGGATCCCCAGTGGTGGGCATGCAGGAGGCAGCCAATCAATGTTTCTATCTCTCTCGTCTTCTCCTATCTAAAAATCAACAAAAACGTATTTAAGAAAAAACAAATAGCATGTAAGACTTTATTTTAATCCTCACCGAACGATATTTTTCCATTGCTTTTAGATGGAGTGGAAGAGAGGTGGAGGGAGTGAGAGGAGAAATAGACACATCAGTTGGTTGCCTCCCGCATGCGCCCCTAACTGGCCGGGAATCAAGCCTGCAACTGCAACCAAGGTACAGGCTCTTGACCTGGAATGGAACCCACCACCCTACGAAGTCGGGGGAGTGAGGGGAAGGGGGCATGCTCTAACCACTGAGTAACTGACCAGGGGGCAAGTATCATACTTAATAGTAAAACCAAAGAAATATTCTCATCAAAGTTAAAAAGATACATCAGTAAACTATTTCATTAATGCAATCTCAAGTGGTCTCTTAATACCTGTTTGCTAATCCTCTTACAATCTCCCAATTTCTCAGGTTTTCCATTCTCCAAATATTCTATTTCACCGTCCCCTCTAAAACTTCCAGAACACCTCCTCCATCTAGTTAGAATCCTTCAAATGTCCTTGAAGTCTCTACATGATCTGCTCCACCATTACCTTGTGACTTTCCCTCTTCCTGCTCCACCCCTTACCTCTCAATTCCAACCATCTTCCTGTGTCTCAAATAAGCCCGGGATTCTGCCCGATGGTCTTTGCACACAGGCAGCTCTCTTACCTTCTTAACCTCAGCTCAAATATCACCTTCTCGGAAAGATCTCCTCTGATGGCCTTGTTTTCTCTCAAGAAAACGTCTCCAAATAAAACATGTATTGACAATCAGAGCCCATGAGTGTCTCTTGAAATTCTAGTCAGATCCGCCCCACCCTAATTATATTATCCCTAGTCCACTTACAATGGAATCCAATCAACTATATAAGCTTCTCTTCCAACTGAACCACCCTCCCTTGTTCTAGTAAACAACTTATTTTCAATCTTATCACAAAACATGGGCATTTTACTTAATTTTTTTTCTTTGAGATTTCTTACAAGAAAATATAGGAGAGAAAGGACTGCCATTTCTCAACAAGTCTGAAATATTTTTTCTTTTTACTTTTTTTGAAATCATATTTTTTTAAATAAAAACAATTTATAAGCGTAAACAAACACCTTCCTCCACAGTCAGAGCTAAGGTGAGTGGGGGAGTCGCTAAGAACTGGGAGGGGTTAATGCCCAGGTCCCTAGTACAAGTAAAATCACTTAGCCTCACCAGTCAGGAGGCTCAGACATACCTTCTCCTATCTTCAGTTGGTGCATGAATCAGACACTTTCTAGGTATTGTGAATCCACTTGAATTCGCCCTATAAACTTGTTGGAAATGTCTGAGTTACTGGCTCTGAATAAATTCCCCAAAGTTTGCCAGAAACCATGAACAAATCCAAGTTTTGGGGGTCTACACATTTCAGGGCCCACTTAGGAACACAAAGATTTCTCTGGGAAAGCTGCCAGAATGGAGGAAATGTAGTGCAGTGCCGCTCGCACAATTTCCAGGACACAAAACACTATTAGCATTCAGGGCTGCCGAGTATCATGGTGAGGAGCCCCCAGAGGGAGCAACCCCCTTCCCTTTAGAAATCAAGGCATTTCATCTTCCTCACCCTGCAGTCTCCCTATCAAGACTACAAATATCAGCTTGCCTGCCTGCCATTGCTCAAAATAATAGAAAACGCCCCCATCTCCATATCCCCTAGAATCTTGGCGCCGGAGATCCATTCAGACAAGAGAATTCTGG